AAAAAGTGGCAAAGGAGGGGAAATTCAAGCCTTTGGGGAGCGGAGCGCTCCTCTCAATCAGGAGATAAAGGATTCGAGCAATTAAAGGCAGGACTCCGTGAAGACGGTGGATTTATGGCCCTGCCTTCCATTATTCCTTGCTGGCTATTTCCAGGAGAACGTGACAGATGAGGAGGGCGGCTTTTTTCCAGTGTGTGCATTTCTAATTCTGGAAAGCGGGTCGGCTCTGGCCTTCTGGGCCAAGAACAGCCTTGCCCAACGGCCTCTTGACCTTGCCTTTGCCCTCTGGCATCACTCCGCGAGCAGAAGGAAATAAAAACCTCTTTGCACCATTCTCAGGCAAGAAGAACGCTGTATAAGGAGCCAACATAGATAGCGTGGGTCTTTGAAATCCTATGGATGACCTTGGACAAGAGACACTCTCTTGGCCTCAAAAGAAGGCAGGAGCAAGCCTCAAGGAAAACCCTCAGATCTTATCAACATGAGAACCAGCATCGTGTAATGCTTTGTGTGCTGGACTAGAAGACTGGAAACTCCACTCAGGTGTAGAAACCCATGGTGTGACCCATTCTCTTAGCCTAAAAGAAAGACAGTGGAAAACCTAGAAAGGCAGCCCCTGCTTTGAGCAAAAAATCTTGCCATGGGAACCTAGCAATAGGGTTGCCCTCAAACAGAAATTACTTGAAGGCACATGACAACAGGCTGCATCAGTAGCAGTCTCGTGTCCAGATCGAGGGAAGTCCTAGTCCCACTCTCTTCTTCTGCTTTGCTCAAACCTCACCTGGAATAACAGCCCTTGTAAAGCAGTACAAGGGCAAGCTGAAACGTGTCCAGAGAAAAGTGATGAAAGTAATCATCAAAGGTCCAGAAGTCACAAATCTCTCTGAGGAGTGGCCTAGGGAATGGGAGGATGCTTTATCGGGAGACGAGAAGGGGACATGAGAACCAGGTTCAAATATTGGAGAGGAGGTCTGTCAGTGGCATCGGCCGCACAGCAAGGCAGGAAACAGACCGATCACAGCCACCTTAGGCTATAAACTACTTTATTTTACAGCTGTATACATTAGAAGCTACTTAACACTCAGCACATCGAAAAACTTCCTTCCCGTCCTATCGTAACATCGCGAACACTCGAACAGCCTGTTATCAGTACTAGTCCACACCTCCTGCATTCCAGAGTGACGTATGACTTAAGCGGCTGAGGGGGAAAAGGAAAGGGCCTGAGGCTGTTAGGAACGGTGGGAGTTGAAGTCCAAAACATCTGGGGGGCCCAAGTTGGCCCATGCCTGGACTAGATGGTCCTTCCAACTCTATGAAACTAGATATGTACAGTCTTCTGGAAGGTGAACAGCCAATTCCCAATCTCTTGATATCAGAATATACTATGAAACCTTCAACTTGCCAGCTTGTCCTTTTGGAAGCATTTCCTCGATGTCGAGATACACAGATAGCAGAGATGGAGGCCTTTTGTGGGGTCAACACGTGCTGGAAATTGCAGCCGCTGAACAACCCCGTCGTGCAAGGAAGGAGGAAGCGTTTGCGTGTTAAGGATAAGTACGCCAGGCTTCTATCTCTGTCTGCTTATCTGTAGATAGACAGGCATAGATAGATGTATTTCCCAACCCAGGAGCCCGTTTTGCTCTCTCGGAATAAATCATGCAAATTGCCGTTGCCTGCTGTGGTTTTGCAGCTGCCGTCAGACTTTTGCCGAATTGCAGTCCCTTTGACAGAAGCCGGAACGAGGGGAGACTGGAGCCACAACCCACCTTCTCTCCCTTGATCTGTGTGGACTGCTGTGATTTGAAAGATTTGGGTGATAAGAGGATAAGAGAGCGGTTTGAGGGGGAAGCAGAAGAATTGCTGCTGCGTGAATACAATCGGAGCTCTTTCCAACGTTACATTGGAAATGGGGATTCGAAAAGTTTATTCTGTGATGGTCATAATTCTCAACCCACTGTTTTGGACTAGATGGCCTTTGGAGTCCCTTTCCACTCTAGGATACTATGATCTATATCTGTCATCTCTTTCTCTTGATCATCTGTATGGACATCTATCTATGGCTGGACAGCCATCTGTTGAGAGGGATCAAATTGTGTTTTCCTGCCTGAAAGACGCAGGGTCAGACTAGATGGCCTTTGGGGTTCCCTTCCATGTTAGGATATTATGATCTATATCAATCATTGGGTTGTTTTTCGAGCTATATGGCCGTGTTCTAGAAGCATTCTCTCCTGACGTTTCGCCTGCATCTATGGCAAGCATCCTCAGAGTTGTGAGGTCCTCAGAGGTTGTGAGATTCTCAGCGTTTGTGACCTCACAACTCTGAGGATGCCTGCCATGATGCAGGTGAAAATCAGGAGAGAATGCTTCTGGAACATGGCCATAACCCACTAGATGGCCTTTGGAGTCCCTTTCCACTCTAGGATACTATGATCTATATCTGTCATCTCTTTCTCTTGATCATCTGTATGGACATCTATCTATGGCTGGGTGGCCATCTGTTGGGAGGGATCGAATTGTGTTTTCCTGCCTGAAAGACGCAGGGTCAGACTAGATGGCCTTTGGGGTTCCCTTCCAGTCTAGGATATTATGATCTATATCAATCATTGGGTTGTTGTAAGTTTTTCGAGTTATTTGGCCATGTTCTAGAAGCATTCTCTCCTGATGTTTCACCTGCATCTATGGCAAGCATCCTCAGAGGTTGTGAGGTCCTCAGAGGTTGTGAGATCCTCAGAGCTTGTGACCTCAACCTCTGAGGATGCCTGCCATAGATGCAGGCGAAACGTCAGGAGAGAATGCTTCTAAAGCCAGGTCTTGATTTTTCTTCTCAAAGACAGGAGGGAGGTGGCCATTCTGATGTCTCTGGAGAGAGCGTTCCACGGGCGGGGGGCCGCTGATGAGAAGGCCCTGTCCCTCGTCCCCACCAATCATGTTTGCAATGTCAGTAGGGTCGAGAGCAGGGCTTCTCCAGATGATCTTTAAGTTTCGTGATGGTTCATACCAGGAGATACATTCAGACAGGTAGTCTGGGCCAGAACCCTTTAGAGCTTTGAAAGGCCACATCATGAGAAGACAGGAAAGCTTGGAGAAGACAATGATACTTGGAAAATGGAAGGGAAAAGGAAGAGGGGCCGACCAAGGGCAAGATGGATGGATGGCATCCTTGAAGAGACTGGCTTGACCATTGAAGGAGCTGGGGGTGGCCATGGTCGACAGGGAGCTCTGCCCTGAGCTGGTCCAGGAGGTCACAAAGAGTTGGAAAAAAACAAAACAAGTAAACAACAACCCCAATAGATTGCCATTCTTTTCTTTCTTTTTGAAGGACCCATGCCCCAAAATACAGGATTTATTTGGGGGGAGGGGGGTCATTGTATGCAGAAGGAGAGGCTTTCCAGTCCTCAAATGGGAACACCTTCCTTGGCAATCCCACATGTATTGTATGTGAGGCTTTCTCCCAGGTTTCTCACTTTTCATAGAATTATAGTTGGAAGAGACCTCATGGGCCATCCAGTCCAACCCCATTCTGCCAAGAAACAGGAATATTGCATTCAAATCACTCCTGACAGATGGCCATCCAGCCTCTGTTTAAAAGCTTCCAAAGAAGGAGCCTCCACCACACTCCATCCGGGGCAGAGAGTTCCACTGCTGAACGGCTCTCACAGTCAGGAAGTTCTTCCTCATGTTCAGATGGAATCTCCTTTCTTGTAGTTTGAAACCATTATTTCGTGTCCTAATCTCCAGGGAAGCAGAAAGGAAGCTTGCTCCCTCCTCCTCCCTGTGGCTTCCTCTCACATATTTATACATGGCTATCGTATCTCCTCTCATCTTTCTCTTCTTCAGGCTAAACATGCCCAGCTCCTTAAGCCTCTCCTCATAGGGCTTGTTCTCCAGACCCTTGATCATTTTAGTTGCCCTCCTCTGGACACATTCAAGCTTGCCAATATCTCTCTTTTGCGTCTCCAGAGTAGGCTCTTTTTCTCTCTCTTGGGGGGAGAGAAATAGTATTTGGTGCTCACGAGATATGAATTAAACTCTCACCGCAGCAGCAGACAGTCAGTGGGTGTTTGGATTGGCAGGCGGTGGCTGCTTCCCTCCGCATTTCCTTGGCTGGACTTCTCTCCGCGGCACCTTAACGCCTTTTTAATAGATTTCCTCGGCGAGCGAAGGGCCAAGGTGCAAGGGCTGCCGTGCCAAGGGAGGGCCAGGTTTTTTACCGCCTCCGTCCACATTCTGTTCTCCATTACTGGGGCAGAGCCAAGGCGTTTAAATGGATTGGTTGCTCCTGCCAAAGTTTTTCTTTCTCTGCCTACGACAAAAATGGAGTAATATGAATGGAGCCGTGGGCCTGATTCTCACAGGAGGTTTTCATCAGGAACTCCTTGCTGGCCAGGCGGTGTGCTGTCCCATTTTGGGGGAAAGGTGGGGTATACATTAACATAATGAAATGAATTTTGATGGATTACTTCTGATGTTCCTTCCTTTCTCCTTGTCTTCCTTGCATGCTGCAAGTGAAGATGCAACAGCACTTGTATATGGAGCAATTGGGGACAAAGGGGTCCCTGCAAAGCATCTTGGCTTCTTGTTTCCATCTGTTTTCTTCCTGTTAGCCTCTCCAGGTCATTTCCACTGTCTTCCCAAAAGCCTTTAGTGCAGGCATGGGCAAACTTGGGCCCTCCAGGTGTTCTGGACTTCAATTCCTGCAATTCCTAACAGCCGGTAGGCTGGGTTGTTGCAGGTTTTTTCAAGCTATATGGCCATGTTCTAGAGGCATTCTCTCCTGACGTTTCGCCTGCATCTATGGCAAGTATCCTCAGAGGTAGTGAGGTCTGTTGGAACTAGGAAAATTGGGTATAAAGGATAAGACAAGAGCTACTTCCCTTTGCATCCTCTGTCTACGCTCCCTACACATTTTTACTCTTCTATATTGTGCAGCCTTCTCCAACTATTGCCCCTCTGGTTGGAGCCGTCCATACAGTGACCTCCTCCCTCTTTGCCTCTCCCAGGTCAGGCCCTTGGACCCAGCTCCATGATGGCTGGGCAGCCCCTGCCAGGACGGATCATGCCCAGCGCCAATGCCGGAGCATCCAGCGCCCACCCTGCCAGCAGCAGCAGCAGCTCCGGCAACACCAGCACAGCCAGCTCTGCTTCTGGGACAGCGGCCGGAAACATCCCAGGGCCTCGAGGAGCCATGGCTTCCCCAAACGGCTTGTGTAAGTGTCAATGTGGGTGGGACACAATGTGGGTGGGTTGTTCTACCACAAGCCCTGTCCCAGTGCCATAAAGACTCGGGTCTCCTCTCCTAAAACACACTGCAGTCAGTTTCCTGATCAGTGGAGGGCATCTCGTTCCAACCCTTTCACCTTCCATGCCATAGTCCAGGCATGGACAGACTTGGGCCCTCCAGGTATTTTGGTCTTCAACTTTGACAATTCCTAACAGCCAGTAGGAATTGTGGGAGTTGAAGTTCAAAACACCTGGAGGACCCAAGTTTGCCCATGCCCTGTTCTGCAGTCTGTTTAGGTTTAGTTGGGTTACATGAGGCAGTTGCATAAAGAAAACCTTGAAATCTATATTCTTGTAACACTCCTGTCTGTCCTTCCAGCTGAATCTGAATGGATTGAATGTCCCATCTGTAAAGACTTTATCCTGTCTAATAATAATAATAACAACAACAACTTTTTTTAATATAATCTTTATTAAATTTTCAGTTTACATTAAAAATATGTAGCTGTAGCTACTAGAAAATGTGCGATGTGAAATCCGACGAAAATCCCAAAAAGGAAAAAGGAATTGTGTAGGGACAGAGAGATAGTAGAGAAGAGAGAAGAGAGAGAAGAGAGAGAAAGATAATAAAGAAAAAAAAAGAATAAAGTTAGAAAAATAGATATAGATATAAAGCCCAAAGCCTATTTAAAAGCCAGAGTAATAGATGTTGTCGACTTCCTGAGGGTCGTCTTGAGGTCTGCTCTCCCTTCTTCCTTCCCTTCCCTCTCTTTCTCATTTCTCCTCAACTTCTTTCTTCTTTTCTTCCTTCTCTCTCTCTCTTCCTTAATTAGATCAGAATCTTCTTATTTCTATGTCTAAAGTAGTCCATCACTTCTTTCCAATTCGTTTCTTTCATATTCATCCCTTTACTTCTTGATATTAAGAAGGTCAGTCTGTCCATATTTTTAATTTCTAAAATTTTTGTTAATCTTTCATTTTCATCCGGTATTTCCTTTTGTTTCCATCTTCTAGCGTAGCAGATCCTTGCTGCCGTGGTTATCAAGAAGAGAATTTTATCTGTGTTTTTTTCTATTTTTAAGTCATGCATCCCCAATAGGAAAAGTTCCGCCTGCCATGGGATTTTGATTTTTAGAATTTCTTGTAGTTCTTTTTGTACCGCTCTCCAATATTCTTTTGCCCTTTTACAGGTCCACCATATATGAAAATATGACCCCTCTTCTTCCTTGCATTTCCAGCAATCTTTGCTAGAATTCCTACTACATTTCCCTAGTTTTTTCGGTGTCAACAACAACTTTATTTATACCCCACCACCATCTCCCCAAAGGGGACTCGGGGCGGCTTACACGAGGCCGAGCCCAATAGTGCATTACAACAGAATAAAACCAAGACACAAAATAAACATCGTAATAAAATAAATAAAACTTAAAAATACAGTAAAACAGTAAACAGTTTAAAAAAAACAATAAAAATACAATAAATCAAAATATACTGCCAATAAATTAAAATACACAATAAATCAAAATAAAAATACAATAAATCAAAATAAAAATACAATAAATCAAAATAAAAATACAATAAATCAAAATAAAAATACAATAAAAATAAGTAAAAATACAATAAATATAAATGAAAACACAATAAATCAAAAACAGTGCCAATAAATCAAAATATACAATAAATCAATAAATCAAAATATCCTAGGACAGTGTTCTTCACCCTTCCTAATACCACAAGCCCTTCATACAGTTCCTCATGTTGTGATAACCCCCCAACCATAACATTATTTTTGTTGCTACTTCATAACTCTATTTTTGCTACTATTAGGAATCATCATGGAAACATCTGATATGCAGGATGCATTTTCATTCACTGGACCACATTTGGCACAAATACCCAATACACCCAAATCTGAATACTGGTGGGGGGGTTGGGGGGGATTGATTTTGTCATTTGGGAGTTGTAGTTGCTGGGATTTATAGTTCACCTACAATCAAAGAGCATTCTGAACTCCACCAACGATGGAATTGAATCAGACCTGGCACACAGAACTCCCTTGACCAACAGAAAATACTGGAAGGGTTCGATGGGCATTGACCTAGAGTTTTGAAGTTGTAGTTCAACTACATCCAGAGAACACTGTGGATTCAAACAGTGATGGGTCTGGACCAAACTTGGCACGGATACTCAATATGCCAAAATGTGAACACTGGTAGAGCTTGGGGAAAATAGACCTTGACATTTAGGGATTGCAGTTGCTGGGATTTATAGTTCACCTACGGGGTATAAATAAAATGTATTATTATTATTATTATTGTTATTGTTATTATTATTATTTGAAACACAACAAGATGAGTCCACAGCAGACATTGCTGGCTGTTGTAGTAAATCACACGTCAGACACTTCCCAAGTGTCTAGGACTGTGTGATGTATCAGCGAATAATGCGTGCAAATCCCAGTAAGGTGGCCTTCTGCAGCTAGTTGATGGTAATTTTGTCAATATTGATTGTGTTTAAGTGCAGGCCAATGTGTTTAGGCACTGCACGCAGTGTGCCAATCACCATTGGGACCACCTTGACTGTCTTGTGCCAGAGTCTTTGTAGTTTGATTTTTAAATCCTCATATTGTGTCAGCTTTTCCATTATTATTATTATTATTATTATTATTATTATTATTATTCCTCTGCAGATCCGCCTCCAGCCCAGCCGCCGCCTCCTCCGGCTGACGGGGCCACTCCACCTCCTGCTGCAGCCCCAGCAGCCTCTGCGGCTCCCTGACCGGACCGGCGAGAAGGAGCCTCTCCAAACAGTGCCAGTAGCAACCAAAAAGCCACACACCCACACCCCCACCCTTCCTTTCCTGCCCTTTCTTTCCCATGGCTTCCGTTCCACTCCATATGCCGCTCACTCAAGGCTTGATGTCCTTGTCTGTTTGGAGACGGGGCAGCGGCGACACCTTGTGCCTCGCTCTCCTGCCAAGGACAAAATCACACCAGACCTGGCATGGCTTCCCTGGGGGGCTTTGCAACTTTACCTCCCTCCTTTCCGCAAGGTGGGCACAAAGGTCTACCCCTTGCAGCATCAAAATAGAGGTGGGTCAGGGTGTGGCGGAGGATGAGGGGCTTCCCCAGCATCACATGCACACACACACCCCTTGGTCCTGAGGAATGCTGGCCTGGCCCTCCTTAGCCACTCCACACAGTTAGTCAGTGGAAATACCGACTTCGCCACTTCGCTTTTGGGGAGCAGAGTGATCCATTCCCACTCTTTTCTGGGAGGAGAAGGGGTGCCTTGTTCTCTTTCTCCTCCCCATCTCTGTTGTCTTTCCAAAGCACAAAACCACTTGCTTTTCTGCCCTTTCTACCCTGTTATGGGATTAAAGTGGAGCAGGGACTGTGTGTGTGGCCGGCTCTCAAAACTACCGCTTGCAAACCATGTAAAGGGCTGATTCTGCCAAAGCCAGCCGCTGCTTCCTTTCCGGAAGGGTCCCCATGGGAGCGAGGGAAACCAGAGCCTTGTCTTCCTCCCGTGTTCATCCTCACACGTCCTCACACATTCCAGCTATCGATGAACAAGGGCGATGGCTTTTGCAGGAGAGAGAGGGTTGACCGTTTGAGGATCTGTCACTCTTGTCTTTGCCAGGGAGGCTCCTCCGCTATTCCCTGGCTGGTCTTTCTCCCTCCCCTGACTCCGTCCGAGCATCAGGGAAGTTCTCGTGCAAAGGCTTCCCCTTGGGCTGGGACCACCCTCTCTGGGCTTACATTCCAGAAAGGGCTCACCTGGAGCCAGATCATTGCTCATTTGCTCTTCCTTCAGGGCAGAAGGGGGTGTGCAGAGGTGGGGCTCCCTTCCCAGCATGCCCAAAGAGGGTCCTGCCATCTGCCACGCTCCGGAGCAAGAGCCCAGGCTAGCCTTTACACCTGCTACACCTTTCCATTGCCACATCCTTACCTGTGCTACCTTTAAGGCCCCCCAAAACCAGCTCAGGCTGCCTGGGGATATGGGGAGCACGAGCAATGTTCGTTCATGCAACTTGGGGCTTGCTCTTTTTCCCACCTCAGGGAAGAGAGAAATCTCAATAGGTTGTGGGTTGGGGTCTCCCCTCCTCAAGCGCCCATTGGCTCAGAAAGGAAGCCCCTTCCCCCTTTTCCCCCTCTTCCCTTTCTGTGGGGCAACTGGGGCTGGAGGTGTCTCCGCACGGTCCTCTCTCTCTCGAAACTAATAACCTCAGGTTGTTTTTAGTACGATCCACTTCTTCTTCAGATGCGCACGGTTCTTAGATGGAGAACTCGTCTTTGGTTTTATTTTTATTTTTTCCCCTTTCTCCTTTTTTTACTCTACTGTTGATTCTGTCTTGCAGCGTACTATGAATTGTTAACAGGATTGTCTTTCCATTCTGGGGGGGGGAGGCAAGATGACTTTTTTGTTGTTGTTTGGGAGGAGGGGGGGAGGGGAGGGAGGTCTTGTTCAAGGAATTTTTTGAAAAAGCGAACCCTTTTGTTCCTGCAAAACAGCCACTCAATTTTGTGAAATAAAACATGCGGGTGTTTTCCTTTTTTTTTAAACAACTTAAGCATGTGATGTGTGTCTCTATTGCTGGGCGCGGTGCTTTGGATTCTGGTGAGGCATCGGGATGGCTGGGCTCAGCACAGTTGCCGCCACGCAGAGAAAGAGACCGTGAATTAAACAGGGGGCCCAATCCACCTCTGGGTCTCGCCACTCCTATTGTGTGAAAGAGCTTCCGCCTGCGCTGCCCGATTGTGTCCGTTCCCCACCAGACACAAAGCATACACACAATGCAGCTCCACAAAAGAGTTGCTCCCCCCAGTTGCATGGATGCCTGATGCAGACTGCAAAGGACGCCGGCATCCCAGAGAAAAGGGACCAAAGATCCAGGGAAGTCCTGCTCCCCCTCTGTCATGATACCAGATCTTGGGAGTCCTCATGGGGAGGAAGGGGAACATGGGCCAGGAATGTGGTGCAGCGGATAAAAAAGCCAATTTGATTTTTCTGCATCAAGAAGAGCCTAATGCCTAGATCCAGGGAAGTCATGCTCCCCATGCTCTTAATCTGCCTTGGTTAGATCACACCTGGAACCCCACTGTGTCCAATTCTGGGCATTTCAGTTGAAGAGAGATTGTCTCTAAGCTGGAATGTGTCCAGAGAAGGGTGACTCACAGGATCAAGGGTCTGGAGAACAAGCCCTATGAGGAGCAGCTTAAAGAACTGGACATGTTGAGCCTACAGAAAAGAAGGCAGAGAGGAGACATGGGGAGGGCCGGGTAGTAGAGGGAAAAGGCTAGTGGAGGACTTGTACAGGAGATGGAAACCCTGCCAAACAAATTCAGAAGGGGATTGTTAGGAATGGTGGGAGTCCAAAACACCTGGAGGGTCCAAGCTTGGCCATACCTTGGGTAAGCCTTGATGGTGCTTGGGAGTCCCCGCTCTTTTAAGATGCTCGCACAAGTCAGCGCAAGCTGCGCATCTCTTATCCAGAAACCTAACCTTTCTGCCAATGGCAGGGCTGAGAGAAGGAAGCCAAAGGGATGGGTTGGGGGCCAAGGAGGAGCACATGCCTTGCTCCGGTTCTGGTTTTGGTCATTAAGATGCTGAGCACCTCGTCTCCCGGACGGAAGTAATCCTTGAGCTGTGAATGAGCCAGACCCCGGTGGGTGCGCTGGACAATGAATGGGCATTTTGAGATGGAGGAAGGGGACGCAGGAATTGGTGTGGGGAGGGGGGGAATCTCCTCCAATTGGGTATTCAGAGCCCCCACCAGCCCTGGCCCGCTCTCCAGGAACAGCGCCGTCCATTGTGCCAGATGCAAGCGCCCTTCGCTCCGCTTCCGCTGCCCAGAAATGCAGCACCTGCCTCGCCAGGCCCAGAGGATGCCACGTCAAGGGAGGCAAGGATTAAAATTGCAGGAAAAAGAGATTCTGCCTAAACATTTGGAAGGACCTCCTGATAACAAGCTGTTCCGACAGTGTCATGTGTGCAATGGAGTCGCCTTCTCTGGAGGTCTTTCAGCAGAGGCTAGGTGTTCATCTCAACGTTGGGAAGACCAAATAGGTGGATCTGTAATTGGTTAAATGGACGAACCCAGAGGGTATTCACCAATGCTTCCTCTTCATCTGGGAAAGAAGTGACGAGTGGAGTGCCATCAGCAGGGTTCCATCCTAGTCCTGGTCCTGCTCAGTATCTTTATTAATGACTTAGATGAAGGCTTAGAAGACAGGATCATCAAGTTTGCAGACGACACCAAATTGGGAGGGAGAGCCAAGACTCCAGAGGACAGGAGCAGGATTCAAAGGGATCTTGACAGATGAGAGAGATGAAGGGCCAAAACTAACACAATGAAGTTCAACAGGGACAAATACAAGATACTCCACTTTGGCAGGAAAAACAAAATGCAAAGATACAGAATGGGAGACGATGAGACCTGGCTCGAGAGCAGTACATGTTGAAAAGATCTTGGAGTCCTCGTGGACAACAAGTTAAACATGAGCCAGGAATGTGATGTGACAGCAAAAAAGCCAATGGGATTTTGGCCTGCATAGAATCATGGAATCATAGAATCAAAGAGTTGGAAGAGACCTCATGGACAATCCAGTCCAACCCCATTCTGCCAAGAAGCAGGAATATTGTATTCAAATCACCCCTGACAGATGGCCATCCAGCCTCTGTTTAAAAGCTTCCAAAGAAGGAGCCTCCACCACACTCCGGGGCAGAGAGTTCCACTGCTGAACGGCTCTCACAGTCAGGAAGTTCTTCCTCATGTTCAGATGGAATCTCCCTTCTTGTAGTTTGAAGCCATTGTTCCATTGCATCCTAGTCTCCAGGGAAGCAGAAAACAAGCTCCCTCCCTCCTCCCTGTGGCTTCCTCTCACATATTTATACATGGCTATCATATCCTCTCACATATTTATACATGGCTATCATATCAATAGGAGCATAGTGTCTAGATCTAGGGAAGTCATGCTTCCCATGCTCTATGCTACCTTGGTTAGACCACACCTGGAATATTGTGTCTAATTCTGGGCATCACAATTCATGGGAGATATTGACAAGCTGGAATGTGTCCAGAGGAGGGCGACTCAAATGATCAAGGGTCTGGAGAACAAGCCCTATGAGGAGCGGCTTAAGGAGCTGGCATGTTTATCCTGAAGAAGAGAAGGCTGAGAGGAGATATGATAGCCATGTATAAATATGTGAGAGGAAGCCACAGGGAGGAGGGAGCAAGCTTGTTTTCTGCTTCCCTGGAGACTAGGATGCAATGGAACAATGGCTTCAAACTACAAGAGAGGAGATTCCATCTGAACATGAGGAAGAACTTCCTGACTGTGAGAGCCGTTCAGCAGTGGAACTCTCTGCCCCGGAGTGTGGTGGAGGCTCCTTCTTTGGAAGCTTTTAAACAGAGGCTGGATGGCCATCTGTCAGGGGTGATTTGAATGCAATATTCCTGCTTCTTGGCAGAATAGGGTTGGACTGGATGGCCCAGGAGGTCTCTTCCAACTCTTTGATTCTAGGATTCTATGAAATAGTGCCTTCCTTTCTGGCAGAAGAGGACTGGGCTGGATGGCCTCTGGAGGACCCTTCCAGCTCTTGTGATCCATTTGTCCATCCGTTCATCCATTTATGAGAGCTGGCCAACAATGTACCAGGCATCCCCGAGTTAGAAACATCCGACTTACAAACGACTCATAGTTAAGAGCGGAGGTGAGAGGAATCTTTCCCCTCGGAAGGAAGGGAAATCTACTCCTGAAAGAGTTGCTGTCATAGGGGAAAGGGGTCTACAATGAAGCTTTATCACACCACAAGCCATATTTTCCAAAATCCATTTCTCACAGGGACAGAAGTATTTATTTATCGTATCAGGAGCGAACCAAGGGTACACTTGTAATGTATTTAAAAAAACACAAAGTTTGCAAACTTGGCATTATGATAAATGTCCTTTGAACAGAAGCTGACCACTTGGAATGCCTCTGGTGTTGCTATAACAGTGTTTCTCGACCTGGGGGTCGGGACCCCTGAGGGGGTCGCGAAGGGGTGTCAGAGGGGTCACCAAAGACCATTGGAAAACACAGTATTTTCTGATGGTCATGAGGATTCCATGTGGGAAGTTTGAGCCAATTCTATCATCGGTGGGGTTCAGAATACTCTTTGACTGTAATGAACTATACATCCCAGCAATTACAACTCCACACTCCCATGCCATGAGGAAGTTTCTCATCCAATCTCAGCCGCTGATAGAGGTTCCGGGTTTTAGTCTTCCACTTTTGGACTCTGACTTGCTGAGGTCTTCCTGTGAGCATCTCTGTAGATCTTAGGAAGCTTTTTCTTGATTTAAGGCATTGGCGTGCTGGCTGGTATCCGAACAGGGAATGAGCCAGAGATGTCACGGCCTTGGTACTTTTATTATTGACTGCTACTTTCTGACAGATGTTGAGGGATGCAATACCAGCTAAACAGTGTAATTTCTTCAGTGGTGTAGGGCACAGGCATCCTGTGATAATGCAGCATGTCTCATTGAGGGCCACACCCACTGTTTTAACGTGATGGGATGTGTTCCACACTGGGCATGTGTACTCAGCAGCAGAGTAGCTGTTGCACTCCAGGCCAGGAAAGCCCTCAGACGTTAAACACCACACAGCTTAGTAAAAATACAAGAAGTTTATTGAAAATAATTAAAAAGCAGTAGCAGTAAAAAAAAAAAAACACTCCATAAAAATAGGTAACAAAATGAAGTTCAACAGGGAGAAATGCAAGATGCTCCACTTGGGCAGAAAAAATGAAATGCAGTGCTACAGAATCGGGGACAGTATGTGTGAAAAATCTTGGAGTCCTCGTGGGGAAGAAGTTAAACATGAGCCAGGAATGTGATGCGGCGGCAAAAAAAGCCAATGGGATTTTGGCCTGCATCAAAAGGAGCCTAGTGCCTAGATCCAGGGAAATAATGCTACCCATGCTCTATTCCACTTTGGTTAGACCACACCTGGAATATTGTGTCCAATTCAGGGCACCACAATTCAAGAGGGATATTGACAAGATGGAATGTGTCCAGAGGAGGGCGACTAAAATGATCAAGGGTCTGGAGAACAAGCCCTATGAGGAGTGGCTTAAGGAGCTGGGCATGTTTAGCCTGAAGAAGATAAGGCTGAAAGGAGATATGATAGCCATGTATAAATATGTGAGAGGAAGCCACAGGGAGGAGGGAGCAAGCTTGTTTACTGCTTCCCTGGAGACTAGGATGCAATGGAACAATGGCTTCAAACTGCAAGAAAGGAGATTTCATCTGAACATGAGGAAGAACTTGCTGACTGTGTGAGAGAGCTGTTCAACAGTGGAACTCTCTGCCCCAAAGTGTGGTGGAGGCTCCTTCTATGGAGGCTTTTAAACAGAGGCTGGATGGCCATCTGTCAGGGGTGCTTTGAATGCGATTTTCCTGCTTCTTGGCAGAATGGGGTTGGACTGGATGGCCCATGAGTTCCCTTCCAACTCTTTGATTCTATGATTCTATGGAGGCTTTTGAACAGAAGCTGGGTGGCCATCTGTTGGGGGTGCTTTTGGC